GTCTCTAACATTCAAAAGATTATAGTTCTAAATTCATAAGCATTATATTATTATAGCGGAGCTCCCGGGCTGGCCGAAGGCATAGATAGCACGATAGACATAGAATGTGGTAAACTATCTATTTCGTGGTCATCGCATGTAGTCTCCTTCGCAGCCGTTTTTAGTGTCGGTCGTCACGCAACGCTCCCTCCCCACTAACGGCTGCTTGCATTCGAACTACATTCCTTTCTCATTGTTTGGATCGTACCAATGAGGTCGAACGTATTGTTTCCAATTGAGCCAATCACAGGGTCCGAAAGTAAAAACATGGTGAGTTTCCCGCGTACGAGCTGTCAAAATGTTCGTTGTTTTTTGATCCCCGAATGGAGGAAACACCGAAGAAAATCCTCGAAAGCGATCGGTGCTTTATTTGCTCGAAAGTGGTTGAAAAGAAGGAAAAGATATATATTTTTGGAAAAAGTTCTTTTGATTTTCCGTCCGTTATCAGTTTCTGTCTGGATGTGAACGTCGAATGTTATTCAGCGACGAGCGAGTTGTTCCTTTGCAAGCAGGCATGCTACGGACGACTTACGAAGTTCAAACGCGCATTTGATAATTTGGAAGCGATCAAGACAGAACTTAATGAAATCTACAGGAACAAGGGAGTTACTATTAGAGCAAAACGTCTGGTACATGAGAAAGATGAAGAAAGTTCAGCTTCTCGTCCAAAGGCATTGAGCTTATGTTCACAGCACTAACTCCTAAACTACGTAACTYTGARACTTGGTCGTCAATTAGACTTATTAAAGGAGACACAACAACCACGATGTGACCAGAATCTTGTGTATWATTGTAGTCAAATACGAGAGGCAGAGCTTGGTAAATTAGAGATTTGCCAAACCCTGTTGGAATATTGACAAAAAGATCTTTTTTCTCTYCGACTATAGTTTTGATAGCCGACTTCTGATGCACATTTAGGTCAGGAATACCGAACTTTGAAGACACGAGTTCAAACACTTCTTCTACAGACGCCATATTGAACGAGTTGAGAATGCGAAATAAAAGCTGCACGGTGATTGGTCAGATAAAAAGTCCGCGAACGGTTTTCTCTAAATATGTAAACCGTCTTGTGATTGGCCAAACAATGAGAAAGGAATGTAGTTCAAATGCAAGCAGCCGTTAGTGGGGAGGGAGCGTTGCGTGACGACCGACACTAAAAACGGCTGAGAGGGAGACTACATTGCATGGGAACCCTGTGCGTAACGCTAAGAATGTCGCCCGCCCGGTGTAAATCGCGTTTCTGATTGGTCGAGCTTTCAAACACGTCACTTGGACGTCTTTTTAATATTTTTTTGTTTGTAAAATTGTGAAAACGAAGCAAAAAATCATGGAAGAAATTATAGAAGAAAAGACTTCGACACATTGTGAAGATAGAGGTTAGGACATTTTAATTTTGTTTTATTTGTAGACAACATAGCTACAATTACCGGAAAACGAGCAATGAACTAGCATGGTGATCGAGCAAAAAAGATAGGTACATGTTTTTAAAGTAGTCATTTGACTGGAAAAAAACGACACCCATAAGTATATATCATCGAGGGACCTTTTTGAATTCCAAAGAGGTGTGTGACAAAGTTTATAGCTATATAAAGTTGCTTAATTTAAGTCCAAAAAGTCCAAAAAGTTGCTCAAAAAATCCAAAAGTTGCTCAAAATTAATTTGCTCAAAAATCTCAAAGTTGCTCAAAAGTTG